GGTGAGTGAGGGGCGCGGGTCCGCCCTGGGTGAGTGAGGGGTGCTGTCCGCCCTGGTGAGTAGGGGCGCGGGTCCGCCCTGGTGAATGAGGGGCATGGGGTGAGGTGCTCTGGTGAGTGAGGGGTGCGGGTCCGCCCTGGGTGAGTGAGGGGTGCGGTCCGCCCTGGTGAGTGAGGGGCGCGGGTCCACCCTGGGTGAGCTGGGGCAGCAAGGGGGTAGCAGGCTGAGCTGGGTGTGGTCGGGAGTTTGTATCCCATCCTGGTGCTGGGGCTCTGATCTAGGATGGGGGAGCTGGGAGGACTGGACCCTGGTGTTGTGGAGACTGAGGGGTGATTTCAGGCTCAAGAAGGAAAATAGGGCTGCCCTTCATTCTGGTCAATTCCCTTTACCCAAACTCCTGTTTTTCTCTTTAGGTGCAAGGACATCATTGCCCCCAACTACAGCAGGTACTGAGATCCATCTATGGGCAGGGGAGAATACTGAGATTCTGGGGACCTGTTCTGTGGGCTCTCTGACACCTGAGGAGAGGAAAGTTGAGGAGGCTCTGGCTGTTGGGGAGGAGCCAGGGTGTTATGCTAGGGAACTCCCCTACCCTTGTTCCCAGAGTCAGAAGGTTCTCATGCCCGGGGTCCAAGTGGCTCTGGTTCCCCTGTTGCAGATTCTAAGGTTCTCCCACCTGCCCCTGTGTGTTGCTCCTCATCAGTGAGCTGCAGGTCCCAGGACTCTTTGATGCTCTGTCTGTTAAAGCCCAGGGAGAGGGGATGAGCCAGGTCGTCAGAGGCAGTTTAGGCAGGGCAACCCCTGACAATTCCTGGCTCTGCCTCGGGGCCACACTGGCAGGAGTGAGGTTGGCGTCTCTTGAGGACGAGACCGGGAGGAGCTCAGTCACTGTCAGTGCACTTGTATCCAAGGCGGGGACGCCATTGTCCAGAGTGCCTGGATATTCTGGCACAGAGGGTTGCTCTGCCCAGGACCTTCTCCAACCCTCTTTCCTGTTCTCCTTAGGGACCAGACCAGCCTCAAATCCACTCCCTGGCATCTTCTCCCTGCCTTGGGTCCTCTGCCTCATCCTGGGGGCCCTTCTCTTCCTGGTCCTCGTCATACTGGTGACTCAGGTGCTCAGATGGAGAGCAGAGCGCAGAGGTGGGCTGCAGGGGAACTGGGGACCAGGGAGCGTGTGTGCATGCAGGAGATGGGGCAGGTGTGAGGAGGGGAGCCTGGGCCAGGTCTCTGCTCTGAGTTGCAGACTCCATGTGCTCCATGCTGAGCTCTAAGTGCTGAGTAGACAGAGGCTTTTAGGACTGGTATATGAGCTCTCATAACTCATAGCCTGTCCTGTGAGATGAGACAGAGTTGGGGCTGAGCTGTATTCAGGGCCAGATGAGGGGAGAAGGTGCCAACAGGTGCACTGGGTGGGAAGCTATCCTGAGGTCCCTTCAAGACCTGTGTGAGCACTGGGGAGATAAAGGATGTATCTGCTGGATCGGGGTATCTGGGCCAGCATTTCTGACCTGCTGGGAGATCTCTGAGCCTGCTGGACTGGGGTATCTGGGGTAGCATCTCTGACCTGCTGGGGGATCTCTCAGCCTTCTCCAGCTATGAAGATGCTCTTGCTGAAGCAGTGTATGAGGAGCTCGATTACCTTGTGTCACGGAAGGAGGGTCTTCTGGACAGCCCAGGTGGGTGTCTCTGCCTACCCTCCTGGGACCTCTGGTTGTCACCTCCCATTGGCTGTGTGCATCTTCTCAGCATCTGCAGCCCCAACAAGTGCCCCAGACTCACAGAGGCAGCTCCTCCTAAGTGGTAGGATGGCCTCTCAGAGCCCTGAGAGCCCCCAGCCTCTGTCTACACTGCATGAACCAGGCCTGTTCCTTCTCAACCTTAACACTGGTCCCGTGGGTGTGGGGAGGGTCATTCTGTGTGTTGTGTGATGTTTGTCTCCACATTAGGCTTCCTGTCAGATGGTGAGGACAACGATGACTCCAGATCTGCTCCAGGTAATAGAGATGGACCCGCCTCAGCTGGGTGTTGGGGAGGAGAGTTTCCATCATAGAGATGAGAGGCAAGGGAAACAGTCTTCCTTTGATGGAGCTGTAGCATCGCTTGTATCAAGATGGAGTCCATCCTTCCCCTTCTCTGGCTGTTCTGTGATGTCTCTCATTTGGAGCTGGGCTCTCTGTGTCAAGAATCACAATAGACACACACAATGTTTCTAAAAATTACATCTGGAAAGCACTATCTGTGAAAACGCTTTAGTCATGCTTATGGTATATGGGTTCCTTTGAGAAAGATGTGTAAAATCATGTTTTGGCTTATGAAGACTTCAAACTGAAACATGGTCTCAGAAGAGAAAAAATCTTTTGAAACAATGTGCCTCTATATAGCAGCTCAGAAACTCTGGGTCAAAAGGGATCGTAGGGATTTCCCAAATGATCCCACTTACCGTGGTTTCATCTGACCCCTGCTCTGCCCTCAGAAACCCCAGTTCAGAGGACTGATGCCCCTGGTGAGGATTATGATGATGCTGAAGAGATACCCGTGCCTGGGGCTCCTCCTGCCTCTCACATGAGTGAAGAGGAAGTGCTCCCAGTGAAGGAAGATGGGATGAGGTCTCAGACAGGTGAGTGGGGTTAGCTCATCTCCTGCAATCTTCAGTCTCTGTCCTGGAAATGGTGAATTGGAACTCCTCAATGCCCAGCCTCTCTAGAATTTCAAAACATTGATAATCTCATGCATTTGATGGGCTTCCCTGGTGTCTCAGATGGTAAAGAATCTGCCTGCAATGCAGGAGACCCGGGTTTGATCCCTGGTTGGGAAGATCTCCTGGAGAAGGGAATGGCAACCCACTCTAGTATTCCTGCCTGGAGAATCCCATGGAAAGAGGAGTCTGGCAGGCTGTAGTCCGTAGTGTCACAAAGAGTTGGACATGACAGTCTCAACCGTATACTGTCTTTAATGCTATCACAGTCCTTGGCAGTGAGAAATCATTCTCCTTTTGGCATTTAAGTCTCCATACTGCAACATAAATTTTCACTTTATATGTAATATGCTTGCATTAAAATGTACAGATTAGGGCATTTCCTGACAATCCAGTGGTTAGGACTCTGCACTTTCATTGCTAGGACCTGAGTTCAATCCCTGGTCAAGCAACTAAGATCCCACAAGCATTGTTCAGTGGCCAAAAGGAAAAGAAAACTTGATTATTCAAGCATATTTATGAAATCTACAAATAGATCAAGTTTTTTGATATCTCCTCTGTGCTGTCTTATACATGAAAGGTAGTCAACGATTTTTTTTAATGTAGTACATTATTGAATTTGTGAGGTATTCTGATAATTTAAGATGAGCTCTGTTTATATGTCAGCACTAACATACAAAATCTATGATGTGCAATGGCCTTAACATTAAGCCATGTTGGTAGTTCATAGACCAGAGTTTGTGGTCAGCTACAGTCTAATTTGCTCCAGACTTTTCAGTAGCCTAGAGAAGACACTCATTCTCTAGAAAGAGCACTTCATTTCTCCATCTGAGAGCCTGTGTGGTCCCTGGGAAGGGACCTCCTGTGGCTGCACCTTGATATGATTCGTGGGCATTTGGGAACAGGAGTTAACTAAGAGCAGAGCTGGTTTGTGAGTGAGGAACGCAGACTTTCCTGTCTCCACTCTCCCTCTCATGGTGATTTCATGTCTGTCAGTTGTGAGAGGAGAACATTAAATTCATTGGTATGTTCTTACCATTCCTGGGCATCTCCTTGCTGATTGTGTGGCCTGGAGGCAGGTCTTCCCAAAGCTCTTAGGTGAGCACAGCTCTCCTGTGATGCATGGTTTGCACATGAGCTGAGGCTCCAGAGACCACATGGACCGGATCTGAGAGGACAGCCGGGGTCCATCCTCCCTGTAACTGATGTGAAATAGCCTGAGTCTCCCGCCCAAACCTGGGTCCCAGGGGTACTTTGTTATCACCACTTAATTGACTCACTTCCACAACATGGCCTGGTCCCTTTTGTCTCAGTTCTAATCATACTTTTCTTTACTATTTCAGGATCTTCTCTGTTCATCTTTGGAGAGGAAGCTGATCCTGGGGAAGGAGAAGAGAGCCCGTGGCTGCTCCAGGGGAACAAAGGGGACCCTGGGTATGATGATGTTGAACTCAGTGTCCCGGGAACATCCACAGTGACTTTCCCATGATGTATTAAATATGAGATGAAGCCTCAGATATTCTAATTGCCTGTATTTCAATAGAGTAATGCTGACCTGTAATTGTGTTATATGGAAATTGTTTAAAATGAAGTAATCTGAATAAAGTAACTTTTTGCTGTGTTGCTAATTTAGCAAGTTCCAGGTCAAATGCTTTGAAAGGATTGGTCTGGTTCTCAAACACCATTTTCCTCAAAGGAAAACAAGGTGTACTGCCCTGTTTTCTCACCTCCTTCAAAGGCTAATGAGGCCATGACTGTGCCTGGGATCACAAATGCTCCAGGTCACTCTTGCTTAGAAAAAGCATCTAAACTTGGTCCACATTCACACCCTCATTCCTAGCAAGATGAACTTATCGACCAAAAAATATATTCAGAACCTGATAGAGTTAGTTTATTTGGTGGGAATGTTTAGGACTCCAGGCCCTGGAGACTGCATCTCAGTAGCTCTGAGAAAACTGCTCCAAGGAGGCAGGAGGGCAAGTCAGGCTTTATACAAGTTTGCAACAAAGGGAGCAGGCAGTCTGAACATCAAAGATCAGGTATCAAGTTAAGAAATTTAGCATTCTNGTAACCGTGATCCTGCTGTGATTCTTCAGGGTAGAGACAGCTGTCATATAGGAGTGGCCAAGTAAATATCACCTTTACACAATACATAGCCCCCCACCCCCATTCCATTGTGGACATGTGGAGAAGCTGCTGAACTAATATAAGAGCTGAGAGTGCTGGCCTGGCTGTGAGCTGAGTTCACCCGGTTACTGCTTGATGGCCTGCATGGTGTCCAGGGCTCCAACCTATGCTCACACTTGCAGTCTTCGTAGTTCTAGGCTGTGCTTGGGAATGGGAAATTGCCCAGGACTTCTCCCAGGGCAGGTCACATGGCTATTCACCATTTGGAAGTAATGAAATAAATGACGTATAATGAAAGAAATAAAGTATACCCACCAAGAAGCTCAGTGAACTCCAAAAAACACATATAAACAATCCAATTCAAGAAAAGAATATGTGAACAAAATGAGATTAAAAATATTTCTTATCATTATTATTATGGTTTTTAATTTTTGGTTGCACTGAGTCTTTGTTGCTACACATGGGCTTTCTCTGGTTGTGGCAAGCAGGCACCACTCTTCTTTGTGGAGAGCAGGTTTCTCTACGTGGGGGCTTCCCTTGTTGTGGAGCACAGGCTCTAGGTGCTCAGGCTTCAGTAGTTGCAGCGTGCAGGCTCCCGTTTGCGGTTTGCAGGTCTTAGAGCCAGGGCTCAGTGGTTGTTGTGCATGGGCTGAGTGGCTCCACAGAGGAAAGTGATTGTTTTACAGAGACATAAATCATAAAAAAGGAAGCAACACAAGAGTTTGCTGATGGTTTAGTGGTTAGGATTCGATGATTTCACTGCTGTGCCTGGATTCTATCCTGGTCTGGGAACTGAGATCCCTCAATCTCTGCAGTGAGGCCAAAAAACGAGAAGGAACCAAACAGAAATTCTTTTGCTCAAGATTACAGTGAATGAAATGCAACAAAATGAAAAATGCTACAGAGAGCATTGAAAGGTTGTTGCTGAATGATAAGACGCTGGGATTCTTGGCCTCTGGAGGAGACGAATTCAATCTGGGGCCAGAGACGAGGCTGGATCGCTCAGAACTTTTGTGTGATAAAGTTTTATTAAAGTATAAAGGAGATAGACAAAGTTTCTGACAAAGACATCAGAAGGGGGTAGAAAGAGTACCCTGCTGCTAGTCTTCAGCTGGATGTTATATAGTCACTAGCAGTCTGTTAATGAAAAGAAAGGAATGTCTTAAAACTCAGAATGGCACCAGGTAATTCATCCCAGGTCATAAAATGATTGACTTGAATCTTGTAGAAGGGCAGATTACCAAACAAATAGTTTCATTTACATAGATTAGGGGAACAATATCTGAGTATAACATACTGGTCTGTCAAGTAGTTTCTTAGCCATTTGGCAGAACTTACAGAGCCTGGGGTAAATGCTTAGTGCATTAACATAGCTTAAGACAAACATTTGCATAAGAAAAAACGTATTGGTTAACTCAAGGTTTGAGAATAGTTAGCTTCAGGTGAAACCAGGTGTCATGGCAACACAGCATTTTAAGAGAAACCTCCTTTTAAATTTGTGTAGAGAAGGAAAAAAAAAAATAGCGCCAGTTTGTTTCCTCCTGCCACTTAAGAGAGATAAAAATGTCTGACACTTGCAGCCTATTTCCTCTGTTTGGAGACCCCTGGCCTTCCTGTCTGTTACCCTCTCAGTATCAGTAACAGCAGAAGAAGCTGTAATGTAGAAGACAGTTGAAATTACCCAGCCAGAAGACAAAGAAGGAAAAAAGAATGAAACAAATATGAAAGAACCTGTGTGAACTATGGGATAACATTCACAGAAACAACCTGCACATTACTGGAATCCCAGAAGTAGAAGAGAGGGAGAATGAGACAGAGATTTTGCTCAAAGAAATACTACCAGGAAAGTCCCAAATTGGTTCAGATTTAGACATCCAAGTTCATGTAGCTAATAGGTCACCCCTCAGAGTTCATTCAAAACTATCCTCTCCAAGACACATTTCCTATAATCAAGACAAAGAGAGAATTTTAGAAGCATCAAGAGAAAAGTAAATGCTCACCAAAAAAAGACATTCCGTTAAGAATATCATTGGGTTTCTGACAATAAACCTGGCAGGGCAGGAGAGACTAGGATGATATATTCAAACTGATGAAAGTAAAAACCTGCCAACCAAGACTACTTTTCTCAGGAAGGTTGTCTTTCAAAAATGAAAATGATAGAAAGACTTTCCCAAACAAACAACAATTGAGGAAGTTCACCAACACAGGTTTGTCTTACAAGATTGCTGAAGGGAGTTCTTCAAGCTAAATGCTGCTGCTACTGTTGCTAAGTTGCTTCAGTCGTGTCCGACTCTGTGCTACCCCATAGATGGAAGCCCACCAGGCTCCCCCGTCCCTGAGATTCTCCAGGCAAGAACACTGGAGTGGGTTGCCATTGCCTTCTCCAATGTATGAAAGTGAAAAGTGAAAGTGAAGTTGCTCAGTCGTGTCCGACTCTTACTGACCGCATGGACTACAGCCTACCAGGCTCCTCCATCCATGGGATTTTCCAGGCAAGAGTACTGGAGTGGGGTGCCATTGCCATCTCTGCTTCAAGCTAAATGAAAGATACTAGTTATCCTATAAAAGAAGATACAACAGATTTATAAATGTAAATATGTAATCCAATTCAGAATACTCTAAATATACTCAAAATATACAGTGAATGTGAAATTTGCTTAGTCGTGTCCAACTCTGTGACCTCCTTGGACCGTCTATGGAATTCTCCATGCCAGAATACTGGAGTGGACAGACTTTCCCTTCTCCAGGGGATCTTCCCAACCCTGGGATCAAACCCAGGTCTCCCACCCAGATCTCTCCAGATTCTTTATCAGCTGAGCCACAAGGGAAGCCCAAGAACACTGGAGTGGGCAGCCTATCTCTTCTTCAGGGAATCTTCCCGACCCAGAAAATGAACCGGAGTCTCCTGCATTGCAGATGGATTCTGTACCAACTGAGCTATCAGGAAAGCCCACAAAATATACAATGGACATGTAAATGTAAATGTGTAATACAACTCAGAATATTCTAATACTGAATATGGTAATGTGCTAACCAGATAACTGTAGTCTAAAGGAAGTACTAAAATAACTATAAAGAAAAGTTTTTTGTTAGTGGATATACAATATAAAGAGAGGCAAATTCTGACATCAAAACCAGAAAGTGTAAGGGGATAAAAAGGTATGGCTTTTGTATGTGATTGAAATTAATTTATCAGTGTAATATATACTGTTGTGTCTGTAATATGTTATACATGAGTCTCACGGCAACAAAAATGTAAAAACCTACAGTGGAGTCACAAAAAGGAAAGAGAAAGAGTCAGAGCACATCTTTATCCAAAGTTATTAGCTCACAGTTCTAACTGTTGTGCAGAACAGTTGAGGTGTCCTGATCTCTACAGCATCCTTCAGGATCAGCCCCAGAGGTCTCTCCTTTCACAAAGTGAAAGATGAATTAGTCTGCTTGCTTTTTTTTTAAGCAAAAGAACTCTTTCTGCAGCTCATTTCCTTCCTTATGTCATAAAGACAGTGCAGCTGTACTTTTTAATTGCAAACTTTCTTCCTGTGATGTCGCTGTGAGGTTTTAATTGGAAAACTGCCAAATGATAAATCATATGAATACCCTGTCTCCTCCGTTGGGTCTGATTAAGGCTTAATAAGAGGCCTCCTGTTAGTATGCTGTGGTTTGTCTTGTGTATCCTTAGAGATAGAGATTTGCAGTGTTCGATGTGACACGTCTGTTGGTGATAAGCTCCCTGTGTTTGAAAATCAAAACTTGCCCTGTTAATTGCTGAAAACATTTGCCTTTAAAACAAAAATGTCAGTTAGCTAAGTGGTGTCCTCAAAAATAGTTCTCTATATTTAAGATAATTTCTCTTGAATGTCCATCAGGGTCTAATTCGGTCATTCAATAAACATTATCTGAGCATCTATTAAGTTATAGAGAGTGGAAATACAGAACTTATACCCAGGTACAGGCCTCACTCCAATCCTGGGCCCTGGAAGGGCCTTAGCAGAAACTTGCATCCTGCAGGGGCCTTGGGTAGAATGCCCAGATGGGGAAGGAGTCAACGATAAGGAAAAGAGAATCTGTTTACAGACTTTCAGATGTTAAAGGAGGAACACATTTTGCTGTATTTCCAGTGTTCTTAGGCTGATCTGCAGGCTGGACTCAGCTGCATCAAATCTCCACATGCAATAGAGCATCAGGTCATAGAGTTCAAGTCTGAGCAACCACTTAGCCTTTGAACTCTGAGTGCCATCTCAGTGGCACTAATTTTGAGTTTAAGTGGTTTAAGAATGACCACCTGCAGGAACTCCATAGCTCTGGAGTTGGTAATTACATCATCTGAGCAGAGGTGGATTAATCATGAAGGTAATGAAGCCTCACCTTCACAGACTCTCCTTGCACCAACTCTTCCCAAGTTCTGAGGCAGGCCCTA